GAGATTGATTTAATACATTTCACCAAATCTATTGAATTGTGCTTTAGAAAAATCGAGAAATACTTAATTATCTCAAAATAACAGGGATGGAAAATAGAATTTAAATAAAACGCACCATGAAAAAAGCAAAGGAAAAATTTTTTCTTTGCATTTTTTATTCAATTGATAACAATAACAACAATCAAAAAAAATTTTTTTAATTAGACCCTACAGTATTTTAGATACAATCCTCTACCAAACGGTTGAGACGTCTGTTCATAATAAAAGAACAACATTCAGAACAAGTCATATTAAGTGCATTTTCTTGACCAATAAAAAAATCTGATGGCTGCTATTGATGGCTCTTACAATGCTAGTCATATAGTAATACACATACATAGTCAATTTTAAATTATGAAATTAATAGTAACACCAGAATTGGTATTAATTCTTCAAATGTATTCTTGATATTTACCATAATACAGTACAGAAATGGTGAAAAAATGATATTGATCAAATATTTTTCATCAAATATGTAATTGAATAATATTAAAATTAATCATTTTAACAACACTAACCCTTGTGTTCATTGTAACTAGCTAATTTTACCAACATTAGCTAATTTTATTAACTAATTTTTACTACCTTAAAAGGACAACTCAACCGTTTGGTAGAGCATGTTTAAAAAAAAATATTTGACCCTTATAAGACTTATTTTTGTTTAATTAAGTTATATAATTCTGTTTAACAACTCCTCTGAAACGATAATATGTCAACCAAATAGTCTTAGGGTGTATTCACACCTGCCTTGTTTGGTTCGATTTAATCGATTTCTAGTTCGTTTCCCCCCTTGGTGCGGACTTTTTGGGCAGGTGTGAATACAGCAATCGAACTCGGGTGCGGACCAAACAACCGAACCGAGACCCAGCTGAAGAGGTGGTCTCGGTACGGTTCCAAAGGAACTCTGGTATGGTTCGTTTACGGTGTGAACATGAACCGACCCAATTGCAAGAAAGCACTGCGCCTTTGAGCTAACAGGCTTCCGTAGTCGGAGTTGCGGTATGGGAAAGTGATCTGTTGTAGCCTACTACATTACATCTGTTGCGTCTTTCTGCGCGTCGTGTGTGCATCATTGGAATGGAATGAATGAATGAGTGTGTGCATCAGGACATTCACATACAGAGCCTTCTCTTTAGTCTAATCGCGCATAGATGCAAAAAAAAAAAGCATTTGCAGTTCATATAATGTAACGATAGTTACAATACAAGGATGATGATGCGTTAATTTACGTTAAGCCTTTTTTGCACTTCCTGATTCCCTACTTGAGAATTCTTGTCCAATGAATGGACGACCTTAGCACACCTGTGGTTTTGTTTACAAATTTTGGTTCACTTGCAAAAAGAGCAGTGTGAAAGCGAACCGTACCAAAAAATAAATATTTTTTTTTTATTTGGTCCGGACCAAAGCAAGTGAACTATCGGACTTTCCTGGTGTGAATACCATAGACAGTAAAAGAAATGGACACAGCGACCCCGTTGATTTCAACGGAGAGAGTTGAAGCCCAACATGGGCACTCACTTCCTGATAGCCAAGCGTTCTGCGCAGGCTCAAACTGAGCTTGACGACGTAGTTGTCACGTGAGCAACCGTTCTGACCTTCTAGTAGCTGTGCCGGGACAAATATGAATTGAAATCTGAAACAAATCTGTTGTTGAAATTTTTTGTCCCTTTGCTTTTATTAACTCTCTATCTATGGGCTTCTCCCTTGACTTTATGCCTCCCTGTCCACCCGATTGCCTCATAGACAGTAAACGATTGCCTACGAGCTTCTACTTCTGTCTATACGGTAATTTCTCTACTGTGCGACAGAGCGTCCCGTGGTTATGACGCCATCGTTAGCCTATTTTTACAAGAATGGCTTCTACGGGGCCATAACGTAAGATACAAAGTAATGGAGCCTTTTATACATTGTCGTGTTTCTTTAGAAATAAATAATGGACAAATGGAGTCTTTGGACGCCTCAGATGTAAAGTTATTCGCTGTCAAAGTGACGCCAAAATGAATGGGAGTCAATGGGATGCTAACAGCAGGTGATAGCCAGCTACAATGGCGGCCCCCGGAGGCAGCTTCAACTTCCGGCTGATGGATTACCCCCTTGGTGAATACACCCTTACCTTTAAAAGTCCCGCCGATATGCGTCATCAAAGGAGGAGCAAATTTTCGCTGTGTCATGTGCTGTTTGAAGGAACACTGAAATGGCATGCTGCTCACAGACACAGTGCCATCTAGTGGATTTTTTTTAGCATTGCACAACTACACCAAACGGTAGAGATGGCTCATTCAGGTTGAGTTAAGCTTGATGCATTTTTCAATAAAATATAGTGACTTGAAGTGTGGTCTACCAAATGGTTGAGTAGTACCTTAAAGGGTTAAGTAGTTATTATTATTATGCTATTATCATATTTTCTCACCTTCATATTACAGATTTTCTCAGTTGCTTTGGTACAATTATAGAATCATCCTTAAAGGAGAACTCCGGCGCAAAATGAACCTTTGGTCTAATAAAACATTGGTACCTAGTCAACCATTCTCTGAGATTTGTTTTCATGATAATCGAATGTAAAGAGTTTTATCTCTAAAAACTGTTTAGCGTATAACGCTAGTAATGGGGGCATATAATAAGTAAGAAGAAATCGCAAGTTTATACCACTAACAAGGCTCAAAATAGCCCCACACGAACACAGTAACATAATGAGGGTCCCTGCATGCAAAACGAAGCATTGAGAACTTTGTAAGTGTACAGACCGTTTAATAAGAAGATAAAGATAAAGACAGTCCACTTCGTGTATACAGACAGGAGCCATCTTTGGAAAACAGTCTCGACTAATCAAACCACGAACGCCATTCATACAGTTCAGAAGTTCACTGAACATCATACAGTTCAGCTCACTTAGCACGTCGTTCGTGGTTTGACTAGTCGAGACTGTTTTCCAAATATGGATCCTGTCTGTGTACACGAAGTGGACTGTCTTTATCTTTATCTTCTTATTAAACGGTCTGTACACTTACAAAGTTCTCAATGCTTCGTTTTGCATGTAGGGACCCTCATTTTGTTACTGTGTTCGTGTGGGGCTATTTTGAGCCTTGTTAGTGGTATTAACTAGCGATTTCTTTTTACTTATTAAATGCCCCCATTACTAGCGTTATACGCTAAACAGTTTTTAGAGATAAAACTCTTTACATTCGATTATGAAAACAAATCTCAGAGAACGGTTGACTAGGTACCAATGTTTAATTAGACCAAAGGTTCATTTTGCGCCGGAGTTCTCCTTTAAGATTTTCAAACCAGTAAGTGCATTTCTCAAAACAATATGTACAAACAGCACCACACAATGGATTACCTACAAAAGCCTGTAACTTGCTCAAAATTAAGGAAGCTTGTTTCCGCCACAGAATAATATGGAAACCCATTTCCACCACATAATTTAAAAAACGCATAAAAACTCAAAATTATGACTTTAAAAGTCATAATTATTAGATAAAAAGTCGAACTTACTGCAAGCTGGCGACACGTGGCGACCCGACACATATTGTATGGGCTTATGGGTTTCCATATATCTCACAATTCAGACTTTATATCACGCAATTCTGACTTTTTTTCTCCCAATTGCGAGTTTATTTCACTAAATTCTGAGATAAAAAGTCAGAATTCTGAGATGTAAAGTCTCAATTGCTAGAAAAAAAGTCAGAATTTTGAGATAAATAGTCGTAATTACCTTTTTAATTTTTTTATTCTGTGGCAGAAACAAGCTTCCATACAAAATCCTTAGTTCATATCTCAAAAGTAAGTAGGCTATTTAAGTCAATGAAAATATCAGTGCCATCAGAATGACAAGTCCTTGTGTCATTGTTCACAAACAAAGATAGTCAAAATGCTTAGTTGTTTTGTCAATATAACAGTGTACTCTTTCAGTATTTTTAGATTTTCAGTAGGCTACGATTTTGATGACAATGATTGGAAATTCACAAGACTGCACGTTATCAGCAGTACAAATTTACACATTACTCTATGCGGGATACTGATTGCAAGAGACTGGTCAGGATTCACAGTTATTAGTCTGTCACCAAATTACAGTACATATAAAGATATAAAGAAAAATACAAGACTATATACAAGCACTTGTGCATGCACACACATACTGTACATATGTACATGTGTGTTTGTGTTACATTATGTATTTACTGTATTTACAGTATTTACTGTATAATGTAAAATGCAAGTGGACTACTGTAATATAGCATTACAGTAAATAGTGAACATTGTCTGATTACATACCTGTTCTGTCTACAAATGTTTGAATGATTGAGGACACGGTTGTTCTCCCAACATTCGACAATACTTGTCGACCTGCCTCGGCCATGAGGTCATGATTCACAATAGTGGCCCTTATTTAATCAGAAACATGTCTACAATGTTAGCCTCTTCTACCCTCTTCCACTGTTTTTCCTATGTACCCTTCCACCACACTCCTCCTTTTCCCTTACTCTTCTTTTGTTACCTTGCTTGTTGTTCTTCCATTGTCATAATTAGGAACACTGCGTTGTGCTCTGTCTATATGCAATTGCCAAATAAAGTTTCATGAGATGCACCTCTGAGCTATTTTAGGGGTTGATCATTGGTTGATCTAATGCTTTACATTCCCCTTCATTAGTGAAATTCAAAATTCACCTCCACAATTCATAAATTCAGGATAGGCTACATTAAAAAAAAAGTACAATAGAAATGTAGCCTATAGTAAATATGCTTCAAAAGAATGAGCAAATTGCTTTTACGATGTGCACAAGTGACTAGATTAATGTGGAGGCTGAACAAGTAGTTTTGAGAATTGTTGTGATTATGTTGTGGGAATTGTTGTGACCAAAGCGACTGAGGAAAAATGTAATGCTTTCACACTCCCGTCCAGTTGGTGGCGGTAATACACCAGAAGTTGGTTTATCACCGCCTTTTATCAGTACTAGAAAAAGAAGAATCACTCGGCCCGCGTGTAAAGAAACATGGCTGCGTTGTTTGAAGGATACACGCTGTGTGGAATTGGACCAGCGCAAAATTCTACGAATTCAGGAATTCTGGGGATTGAACTGGGCAGAGATATCGACCATATCCTCGTCACCGACGCTTCGAGATCTGTCACTGTTTACAAGGTAAAATTAGTTAGTTGTAAATACTGGTTGTCTCACAAGAACGGATTGCATGCAGTGCTGCATGTGTTAAATTCTAGCACGTAAACATGAGCGCTTCATCACAAACACAGGAAATGCTCCAACGGCATCTAATGCTATTTTATTTATTATGTAAATGTTATTCAGAAAGTGATTTGGTAGCTGTTTGTGTTGCCGTTTAACCGATATCTTGATTAATAGGTGTCTGATCAGAAGCCTACGGGCAGTTGGACAGTGAAACATGGGCAGATAATCACCTGCCCCGCTGTGTTTAACACTCAGTCTCAGGAATATGTGGTCGTAACTGATGACAGGGTAAGGATCGAGACATGATGTTTTCCATAAGAATAATTCAGTTTCACATGCCGAGTAGGCTACTTACAATTTTTTTTTTTTTTTTTTTTTTGTGTATAAGGTTGTCAGAGTTTGGAAAGAAGATGATGTCTACATGGAAAAGGCTTTCAAAGCTACAGTAAGTGAAGTTAAAATTCATAAGGATTCAATTGAGTGAGTGATACCAGAGACAATTTATATAGAGACATGCCACTTCCTCAATCCTCAATACAACCAAAGAGTATAGAAGAACAAGAGGCGAAACTCTTTTGGTAACAGCCACTAGGTGGCGCTTCGGTAGCGCGGCCGCCATTTTGGGGTGAAAATTCCATCTGGAGTTACTGGACAACAGCACAGATAACAGTTTTTTGAGGTAGTTTTTTCTTGCATTAGTGAGTATTTCCATTTTATGCAACTTTACACCTTTACTGTTATTAGTTACCAACTCCACTAGGCCTGAAATATATTTTGTACGTTTTAATCCCTAGATCATGCTACAAACATGATGATCTTATAGAACATGATGCATTGCTGTGTTCGTTATCCTATAACTTTAATTGCCACTTTGGACAGTGGCTGTGTTTTTTTGTTTACATAGTCTTGCTTTTAGGGATGGGACGGTATGAAAATTTCATATCACGATTATAGTGACCAAAGTTATCACGATTATCAATATTATCACGGTTTTGTTAAAATGAGATGGAAATTAGAGCTGTGTTTCGATTCAAATTTCAAGAATCGATTCGATTCCGATTCTCAAGATCTTGAATCGATTATCATTATTCAATTCGATCCGATCCGATCCGATTTTCGAGATTTAGATAAGTGCGTTTGTTTTTTCCAGCTGTTACCTGAATTACAGGACTGTAGTTATGCAACATATTGATACTATTAGGCTATTATAGACATTTAACTGCTTGTTTTGAACTTCATGCATGTGTATTGAATGTTAAACAAGTTCATAATGATAACAAACAAGACTGTTTATCGTGGTGATGTGTAGCCTAGAGAGGCTTCGCACAGACAGTGAATGAGAGAGATCGGCAGAGCGCGTGCGGATTACCTGCGTCTGTCTTTGAAGTCATATGTATTCGTGAAAAAGGTTGCCGTGTCAAAGGAAAGCGAAATATTTGTCGTATCATCCTTTTAACGTTCACGTCACGGGTATTTACCATAAATGCGCGTCAGCAGCAGCGCTGGTCAGCATTCCACAGCGCGAGGAAGCCGCGGGGAAATAAAATCAGCGAGTCACGCATTGAATCAATGCCATATTGGTCTCTAATAAGTGAAGCATCAGCTTCAGCGTTACCCATGCGACGCATTGCTGCTCAGCTGAGCCTTGAAAAGTGGAACTCAAGGTTAAAAATAATTAACACCTTGTTTCATTACATCTCTTTTAATGAATCAGCTTTTTTGAACGTGTTCGTTGAATGAACAAATGACTCACTCAAAGCCCGTTGTTGTAACAGTGTGCGCGCTGAGTGAAAGCTGCGCATAGGGATCTCCCAGTCGCGGCAAATTAAAGTTCACGGGGAAAATGTAAGCCTATTATTAAATCGATCCTCTGAGTTACGGATCGATCTTTAGAAATTAATATGAAAATCGATTCAGAATTGGTGAATCGATTTTTTCAACACAGCCCTAATGGAAATGTTCAAAAAGAACTGATGCTCACCCTGAAAACATTTGAAAATCAACAAACAAAAAAATACAATTAGCAGGCTAGCAGCTATGCACTTTTTTAAGCATAAACATTATATTAACATTAACATGGAGCCCTGAGAGTGAGGTATAAGTTTTCCTAGTGCAGATTTTAATGAACCCGTCATTAAACCCTATCATTAATAATGATAATAACACTTATGGATGTGTGTAAGTTATTATGACTGAATATTATTATTATTAATAAATAATAAATCACTTTCTCTCTCTCTCTCTCTCTCTCTCTCTCTCTCTCTCTCTCTCTCTCTCTCTCTCTCTCTCTCTCTCTCTCTCTCTCTCTCTCTCTCTCTCTCTCTCTCTCTCTCTCTCTCTCACTCACACACACACACGCGCACGCACGCACACACACTTTAAATGAACAACATATGTTGGTTGGGTCAGGGTGACTAAACTACTGGAATACTTATGACTGTTGTAAATAGCAACGCACTACACAGCGCACATCCATGTCTCGGATCACCGTGGACGCGATCTCTGGTTTCATTCAAATGTGTATGTCTTGCGTCTCAGTTTTGACTGTTTTGAAAATTAAATCAGAGTAATTTAGTATTAATACTACTACAATATTGTTGTAGTGATCACATTTACTTTACGATTGATTTGGACACTGTAACTTGTATAATGGATTTATAAACCGGCAAGATTTAAAAACATTAAGTTAATCACAGTTCAATATTTCATGTCCCTTAAATTATTTCTGTGGTAAAAAAATAAAAAAATAAAACTGTAATAAGTTTACTATGAATGAATACAATACATTATCCCTTGAATGTCACCCTTAATAGTTTGAATGTTCGTTCGTCTTGGCTCAAATCCACTTGCTGTAAAACTTTTCTCTTCGCGGAAGCTTTGCAATAATTACAAGTGAGATAATGAAATAATTCATCTCCAATAAATTTGTCTAATTATTTGCCCAAGTTAGTTGTGGTATTAAGGTAAAAATTAACTCAGTGGGTGGTTGTCACGTAACGTTAGATGACTTAGCAGATTTGACGTGTTTCCCCCTTTTGCAGCGACTTTCCTCTTGCAAGATTTGCAGACAGGATGCCCATCCTCGATTAAATTGCCCTCGGGACTCTTGTAATAGCCAAAATACGACCATACCTCCGATTTTGTCCTCTTGGATGGCTGAAAAATCTCCCGTGCGCTGTCACTGACTTCCGCCATGTCTTCTCGCGCAAAAAAACAACATTGCATCTGCGCGCCTGCTGAGTGCTCGCGCCTGCGTCAGACTGATTCTGGCTGGACAGGATTTACCGCGAGTTTTCAAAATCACGATAATCAAACACGGTTTTTATGATAATTAAATTTTAAACGATAATACTAACCGCCAGGACATTTTATCGTGGTTTATCGTGAAACCGGTAATCGTCCCATCCCTACTTGCTTTAACGGTCATTAATATAAGATAGTACTGCAAAAAAAAGTTTACTGTAAAGCTATTCTATTGCTGTTATATATTTATTGTCCAACATTTACATTTTACTACAATTACATTTATTTGCTGAATTCATTTATTTCATTGATAACTTATTTTTGTATGTAACGTTATGTGTACCTCCTGGAAACGGTCTAACGTTATTATAACTTTATGAACTGCATCACTTTATTCTTACCTGTCACACTTAATGTGGAGAGTAATATAATTAATTAAATCCTTGAACTTCCCTGTCTCAAGTTATGTGGGGGAAAAAGCCTGGTTAAATAGCAACTTCTTTTTAACTGCTATAACGTTAACTGTTGTGAGTTAAAATAATCACCTAATTATTTCAACCTAAAAATGACCTCTGCACTGGACTAAATATATGTATAATATATGACTGCCGAGCCGCTGCCGAGTCGCTTTCACCCCAAAATGGCGGATGCGTAGGGCTGCTGCTGGGCGCTGGTGTTGCAATGGAACGTTCTATTGGCTTTCACTTCTTGTCAATATACGTTCTTTGATACAACTATATAGGGAAAACCCGTAACGCCAAAGATGGCGGTTGTATGCACATGCCCCGCCCCTCCCGCTGGAAAGCCAATCGTCTGCTTTTAACAGTCAAGCCGGGAAACATGTAAGCCTATCGTCTGGTTCCACTGACGCATGTGCACAGTTGAGGTTTGCGACAGCGGAGACGAGAACCCTTGCGCATGCGTAGTAAACGTATAACCTGTGGGGAAAAATACCTTTTAAACCTTATTTTGGGGCAAAGTCATCAAACTTTTTCAGCGATGATTATCATATTTTACTGCTGTTTCTATACAAGCAGTTTTTATGTCCCGGTGACCAGTGAAAGTGCAGTTCTGACACTCTGCCCATTCATTTAGATAGGAGCCTGGTCTTGTTAGTCCGAAATAGCTGCCCGGAGGCGTTGCCAAGATGGCGGCCGAGTGGCATGACTTGCCTAAAAGGACTTTGGTGGTACCTGCCAGGGGCAGATAAACGTAGGCTAACCTGGACTGTATCCTAGAGGCCCACGTGATCACCCAGCAAAAACTCGTCGAAAAGACGACTTTGCCAGATGGCTGAATAACGTTGAAATTTGGGTGAAAGGTGAAAAGCTGTCTTTTTCATGTAATTGAAAAGATGCCCTTTAAATAGATCTCCCTCTATGTCAGCGGTTTTCAATAGGTGAGGCGCGCCTCCCCTGGGGGGCGCCAAAAGGCACAGGGGAGGCGCGACACGCGAAGAAAAAATAACTCTGTATTAGAGAATGTCTGTATGCAGCTCTATTAACATCACAGGACTTAAATTATTCCGGCAACGCATGCGATACATTTGTGTATATGATCACGCTCTTATTCACGCAAATACTTTTAAACCATCCATTCGCGACAAGACAAAAGAGAACGCGCTGTCAGTGAATGTCCTCCTGACGGTACTGATCCACTTTTGCGACACGACTGAAGAGTGGTGTCGCACGCCTCTCCACATTTGTAAGTTGATGGGCGTTCCTCAAGTTTACCGCTATGGGCGTGGTTTTGACCCAGCGGCCAGTCTAGAACAAAGGCCCCTCGAGAGACTACTTCTATTGGATAGACGCAGTGCGTTTGACGGATTCATTTGCATAAAGATGGGCATCGGCCAGCTTTTTGACGCGCAGCATTTTTCCAAATGAAGCGCCGCCTTCCCGGGATGCTTTGCGGGCGCGTTAAAGTCGCGTGACGTCACCCATAGGAATAAAGTGGAGTGCGGCGCGACTGAAGTGTCGCACGGACAAGTGGATCAGTACCGTCACGCACGCACGCATGACTCACAGAAAGACGCGCGCCCGTATCGAGTTCTCTTTCGCGCTTGAACGAACAATAACCCACACCACACATGTATGCCAAAATGTCCGTTTTGTCGAAGCCTATCCTCACAAGAATAGTCTTAAATGAGTTGAATAAAATCTTAAATAGAAGTAAAGACTAGCGAGAGAATGAGATGCGGCA